CTCCAGCATCACACCGCAGTGGTGCAAGGCTTTCGTGAGACCACATCTGGAGCATTGTGTGCTGTTTTGGTCTCCTTATCTTAACAAGGATGTAATGTAGTTGTAATGTGAATTATTGGCAAGGTGCACTTTAGCCACTTCCCAATGCATCGTCAAAAACGCTTCCAAAACCTGTCACCTCTGCTACCTAGAAAGGCCAAGAAAGCAAGTTCATGGGAACACTAATATCTTGAAGTCATACATCAGCCTAAATTAGAAATATGTCACCAGTCCATCATCATCACAAGGTCAAAATCCAGAAGTCCCTTCCCAAAAGGGCAAAGAGTTTGCTCCACCACACATACTGCAGCTGCTCAGGATGGCTGTTCAACACCATCTTCTCGAAGGCAAAGGCAATTGGGATTGGGAAATAAAATGCTGTCATAGAAACATCGAAAATAAGAATAGTTACCCAGCTCCTCAAGCCTGCTTTGCCCTTCAATACGTTCATAACTGATAATCCATTTCATTACCCTGTCCCCACTTTCTTTCCATATTGATTCCTTTAACCCTAAGAGCTATATATAACTTCTGCTTGAAAACATTCAATGTTTTGGCCTTCGCTAGTTTCTGTGGCAGAGAATTTCACAGGCTCACCACTCTCTGGGTGAAGAAATTTCCCTTCATCTCAGCTCTAAATGGCCTATCCAGTGTTCCTTAAATTGTGACTCCTGGTTCTAGACTCCCTGGTTACCATGAACATCCGTGCTGCATTTACCTTGACTAGTCATAGAGCTGTACAGCACGGAAACAGATCCTTCCATCCAACTTGTCCATGCCAACCAGATATGCTAAATAAATCTAGTTCCATTTGCCAGCACTTGGCCCATATCTCTCCAAACCCTTCCTATTCATGTACCCTTCCAGATGCCTTTTAAATGTTGTAATTGTACCTGCCTTCACCACTTTCCCTGGCAGCTCATTTCAAATAGGCACCACCCCCTGCATGAAAAATCTGCCCCTTAGGTCCCTTTTAAATCTTTCCTGTCTCACCTTAAACCTATGCCCTCTAGCTTTCAACTCCCTTACCCTGGGGAAAGGACCTTGGATCTTCATCCCATCCAGGTCCCTCATGATTTTGTAAACTTCTATAATGTCACCCCTCAACCTCCGATGCTCCAAAGGTAAGTAGCTCCACCTTATTCAGCCTCTGCCATAGCTCAAACTCTCCAACCCGGCAACATCCTTGTAAATCTTTTCTGAACACTTTCAAGTTTCACAATACCTTTCCTGTAGCAAGGAGACCAGAATTGAACACTGTTTTCTAAAAGTGCCCTAACCAATATCCTGTACAGCCACAACATGACCGCCTAACTCCTATACTCAATGCACTGACCAATAAAGGCAAGCATACTAAACGCCTTCTTCACTATCCTATCTACCTGCGACTCCAAGGTCTCTTTGTTCAGCACTTCCAGGACCTTACCATTAAGCGTACAGGTCCTGCCCTGATTTACCTTTCCAAACTGCAGCACCAGTGGTCACATTTATCTAAATTAAACTCCGTCTGCCACTCCTCGGCCCATTGGCCCATCTGATCAAGATCCTGTTGTACTCTGAAGTAACCTTCTTCTTCACTGTCAACTACATCATCAATTTTGTGTCATCTGCAAACTTACTAACCATACCTCCTATGTTCACATCCAAATCCTGTTAGAATTTTAAAAGTTGCTGTGAGATCCCCCCTCATTTTTCTAAACTCCAGTGAATATAGTCCTAACTGAACCAGCCTCTCTTCATACGACAGTTCTGCATCCCAGGAATCAGTTTGGTAAACTTTTGTGGCACTCACTTTATAGCCAAAATAACTTTCCTCAGATAATGAGACCAAAACTGTACACAATATTCCAGGTGGGGTCTCACCAAGACCCTGTGCAACCATAGCAAAACATCCCTGCTTCTGTACTCAAATCCTCCTATTGTGAAGGCCAACATACCACTTGTATGCTTACTTTCAGCAACTGGTGTACAGGACATCCAGGTCTCATTGCACCACACCCTTTCCTGATCTAATCTATCACCAGTCAGATAATAATTTGCGATCCTATTTTTGCTCAAAGTATTTATGTACATTTATGTACATAATACTCCATCTGTCATACATTTCCCTACTCATTCAACTTGTCCAAATCACACTGAAGCATCTCTGCATTTTTCTGACAGTTCAGCCTCCTATCCAAATTTGTGCCACTTGCAGATATAGAAATACTACATTTAATTCCCTCATTTAAATCATTCATGTGTACATTGTGACTAGCTGGGGTACAAATTCTGATCCCTAATGTACCCATTGAGTCACTGGCTGTCACCCAGAAAAAGGTTGGTGGCTAATTTGCAAAAACAGAAATTAGCACATGGTTTTCAACAAAGATACATCTCTGTATGGCAGTAAAAAACCCAAAATGGTGTGAGTAGACCTTGACTGACATAGGAAGTTAAAGTTTCCAGTTGATCAAAGCAGGTGATTTATAAAACTGCATAAAAAGGTAATGAGCCTATCATTAGGGGTATTTTAGAACATAAGGAGGATCAACTGATAAAAGGAGAAAGTAACGTGAATGTAAACTAGCAAGAAACATTTAAACAGGCAGGAAGAGCTCTTTGAGCAACGTAAAGGAAAAAAATTAGTAAAAACAAAAGTGGCTCCTTTAAACACAATTTATAATGGAGAAATAGGGAAATAACAGAGAAGCAAAATGATTACTTGGTGCCAGTTTTCATGACAGAAGACACATGAAACCTACCAGAAATAAAGATTCAATGGACTAGCAAAAATGGGGAACTGAAAAAAAAAATGCAAGTTAAAAAAGTGGTACTGGACAAATTAATAGGACTGAACATTGACAAAACCCTTGGGCCTGATGGCAGGTGGCTGCAAACATTGTGCGCTCACTGGTGATCATTTCACAAAACTCTAGATATTCTGGAATGGTGCCTGCAGATGTAATATGACTATCGAATGTAGGCAGGAGGGATAAAGTGCAGAACTGACATCCTATTAACTTAACGTTAATAGGAAAGTTACTACAATCTATTACGAAAAAAAGTGTGAGAACGAGACATTTAGAAAATAATGATCTGACTGAGCAATGTCAAAGATTCATTGAAGGGAATTATGCTTGACAAACCTGTTTTTTGACCATGTTACTAGCAAAATGGATAAAGGGGAAAACCAGTGGATGTGATGTATCTGAATTTTCAGAAAGCTATCATAAGATGCAATGCAGCAGGTCAGGAAATGAAAAAGGATTCTCAGTCACAAAGTATATTCAAGACAGAGATTGTTAAAGTTCTACATCCAAGGGATATGGGGACAAGGCGGAAGGGAGGAGAAATAGTATTGAGGTAGCAGAGTTAACTGTACAGTCAAATTTCACAGATTAAAAATGTTTGTACAGGCTGAACTATAAATGCTTCACTGTGCTAGAGTTACCCTAACAATCTGTGCACAGATTGCATCAATCCAAAGTCAATACAACTTTCCTTGTACACAAAACACATGTAACCCAGGAGACACATCAGCCATTGATTGCTGATGAAGTACATATTCCAAACAAGAAACTTCTAATATAAGCGTATGAGCAGAGAAACAAAGTTAAGACATCAGGCGATCAACCCGAGTAACTCTGTTTTCCCTATCCACAAACTGATATTTCCAGCTTTTCCTGCTTTTAATTTCCGATGATAGTAGCATTGACTGTTTTGAATATCCAATCGCACGCGCGCACACACACACACACTGTTCTCTCTTCTTTACAGGGCAGCACGATGGCACAGTGATTAGCACTGCTGCTTCACAGCACCAGGGATCCAGGTTGAGCCCTAGGCGATTGTCTGTGTGGAGTTTGTATATTCTCCCCATGTCTGCATGGGTTTCTGCTGGGTGCTCTGGTTTCCTCACACATCCCGGATTCACTCCCTTTGGTAAACAGGCCAGACCCCCAGCAGGGTATTGTTCCAGTGCAGTCACAACCCTGTTCTACAACGTGACATGACCTGGTGTCTGCCCTGACCGAATCCGGGGCACCTTCTGTGCTTGGAAGTCTCGCAGTAGGGTGCACACCCTGGGCTCACTCCTAACTGATCAGGCAGGTGGGTCGAGTTTAGTTTATGATTATGTTTGGCAAGGGCTGGTTGGACCAAAGGGCCTGTTTCCAAGTTGTATGACTCTATGTGCACAGTGGTGGGTTAGCCATGGTAAATATGGGTTTGATAGGATTAGGTGGGATGGTCTTTGGAAAGTCAGTACAGATTAGATGGGCCAAAAAGCCTCTTTTGGCCCTGTAGGGATTCCATGACTCACTCCATTAAACAAAGAATGCCTTTTACATGCCTGGTTGAGCATAGCTCCAAAACAAAAAAGCCCAGGAATGAAACACCCTTCATATCAAAACAGCTCACTTCATTGGCACCCTATCCATCTTCTAAAACTGTAGGGATTCTATGATCCTACCTTGGCTGTTCACCAGCTACAAGACACACTTAAGTCATTCTCAAAGCTTCGCCTGCAGTACCTCCCAACCTGCAACCTCTATCACCTCCAAGGACGTGCCTGTGAAACATGTGACTACAAGATGTCCATACACTTTAGTTTTCTGTGAACACTTTCCCTTTTAAAACAAAATGACAAACGCAAGATTACTCTAACTGGCAAATGCAAGAGTTTGATTAACTTAAGTTTCAGGCAAATCAAATGAGAGCCAATAAACTGGAGACTCGGCAGGGAGCTGCACTTTGACTGATCACCAAAGACCTGTCCTCAGAAACACGAATTGACATGAGTGCTGGTGTGGACAAAAGGCTGTCAGTAGGCCTCAACAACAATCACCTGAGACTTCAATGACATTTAAGGCAGCGGCTTCCCTGAGAGCTCCAGCCCTGGGATACCTTTCCCACCCCCCAGCACAGTCGCATTATGAATCCTGCAGTGCGGTGATGGCCACCCTGAGGCCCAGACTCACCGATCAAGCCGAAGCCCCACCGCGCTGCTCCCTCGGCCGTTGTTAATTTAAACCGGCTCCGCTCATTGGCTGCGGTCCGGCGCTGCGCTCGAGGCGGAGAGTTCGGAAGTTCCCGGCGGGGAATCCCCGTCCTCGGCGCCGCCTGACTTCCGTCTTCCTCACTCCCTCCCTCCGGTACCCCGTCATAAACCGAGGGGGAAGGAAGCACAACCGCCCCGCCTGTACATCCTCATAACCCGCACTCTCTAAATCAAGCCCGGGCCCGACAACATTAGGACACACTAAAGGAGGACGAAATAATCGCGAAAACAAATGAATCACTTCTCAACGAAATCACAACTTTATTATTGATCTCTGTACCCACACTCTGCTGTGCCCACTGATCATGGAAAGCATCAGCACCAAATGGATCAGCTTCTCTATGAGCACAGCCATTTCCCTGGAAGAGAGGCAGACAGCCACTAAAACGGTATTTTTTTTAAAAGCCACACTTGGAAATGAGCATACTGTCTTGAAGTACAAACGACGTGACTGACTCCAATGTTTCATTGCTGGTTTTAACGGTTTTTGTCTGATGCTGAAACCTAACCAATTTTGCACCTTTTTACCGTGGGTGCTGCCATCCCCAGTGGAACAAATTGCTTTTTTAAGTGCCCGCAGGAATCTAAGATTAAAACTAGAATGTGTGTGTAGCTGCTTAACCTCAAACTTGTTTAAATCCTGAGCTCGGACTTTTCCCTGGGATCAAGCTTTACACTGATACACATTAATGTTGGGCCTTACTCCAGAAGTACACTACATTTTAGTAATGATGCTAAGAAATTAAATCCCTTCCCAAAAACACACTGCCAATATATAAATGTAGCCAGATTGTTATAAATGTCTGGCAGTAAGTTAGATAAAAACAGTAGTTATTGTCCTGCAATGAATTACATGAGGAGTCACAGTCTCTCGTATAACTTAAACTATTTCCCTTTTTCCTCATTTTTAACAGCAGTGAGGGGTTCAAGGACTTAATTGGAATTAAGAAATCCCCACCAACCAAAGCAACATCTTTCTCAAGTTTATCTCCTGATCTCATCTCATCTGAGACTCACCTCCTTCCATCTTAACTCCATTCACCCAAAATTAAGTGTCATCTTTCTTACCCTCACGCTAGGTAATGCTGAAAATGATTCTCTTTACCCTAGTGTTTTATTAATAACATGCCTTCCATCGTAAGGTGGGCACGTTTGCTGTTGCTTGCATATTGTTCAGTGTAATTCATAACTTTTCTGATACTGAAGCAGCAAGATCTGAGCAATATTCAGGCTTGTGCTAAAAGTGGTAAGCAACATTTATGGTGTACAATTATCAGCCAATGACAATCTCCAGCTACAGAGAATTCAGTCATCTCCTATTTATGTTCAGTGCCATTTACCATCAATATCCACAATGTTAGCTATTGACTAAAGCCTTGACTGGACTAGCCACACAAATACTTTGGTATCAAAGTAGGTGTTGGCTTGAAATTCCGCAGTAAGAAATTTACCTGCTGATTCCCCAAAACCTGCCTGCCATTTACAAAGCACAAGCTTAGAGTATGCCTCAAATGTTCTTCACTTGAGTGCAGCTCGAAAAACATCCAAGAAACTTTGAGGGGGAGGCAATGGCCTAGTGGGATTATTGCTGGGGTCATGCTCTGGGGAAAAAAAATCGATAGAAGTGTGGATGCGGTAAATCAGAAACAAAATCAGAAATTGCTGGAAAAGCTCAGCAGGTCCGGCAGCATCTGTGGAGAGAAATCAATGTTAATATTTCAAGTGAGGTGACTCTTCCTCAGAACTGGACCCAAAACATTAGCTCTTCGTAGAATCCCTACAGTGTGGAAACAGGCCCTTCGGCCCAACAAGTCCACACCAACCCTCAGAGAATCCCACCCAGACCCATCCCCCTAATCTACACATCCCTGAACACTATGGGCAATTTTAGCGTGGCCAATCCATCTACCTGGCATATCCCTGAACACTATGGGCAATTTAGCATGGCCAATCCACCTACCCTGCACATCTTTGGACTGTGGGAGGAAACCGGAGCACCCGGAGGAAACCCACGCAGACAAGGGGAGAACGTGCAAACTCTGCAGAGATAGTCACCCGAGGTGGGAATCAAACCTGGGTCCCTGGTGCTGTGAGGCACCACTGAGCCACCATGCCACTCTACACTGAGCCACGATGCCACCCTGAGTTCTCTCTGATTTCTCTTCACAGATGCTGCTAGACCTGCTGAGCTTTTCCAGAAATTTCTGTTTTTGTTTCATGTTCTGGGGACCTGACTTCAAATCCTGCCACAAAAGATGGTGGAATTTGAATTCAATAAAGACCTGGAGTTAAGAATGTAATGATGACTGTGAATCCATTGTTGATGTTGGGAAAAACCCATCTGGTTCACGAATGTCCTTTAGGAGGGGAAACTGTCATCCTTACCTGGTCTGGCCTACATGTGACTCCACAGCCACAAGAATATGGTTGCCTTTTAACTGCCCTATGGGTAATTATGGATAGGCAATAAATGCTGGCCCAACTGCAACAGCCACATCCCATAAATGAATAAAACAAATGATTAAGCAGTTAATTTGACACCCGATCCATCATCTTGAGCATTCGCCAATGACACGCAATGGCAGCAATGTACACCATCCACAAGATGCGGAGAAGTAGTTTTCCAAGAATCCTTGGACAGGATCTTACAAACTCACAAAAAATTATCTGCTGCTTGGAACCCGCAGAAATCCTGGAGAACTCTCTTCACAAAGCAGGTCCGGTTGACTGGCAACCTTTCCTCCACCTTCTTCACAATCACCCTGACTATATTGCTAATCCCCTAGGCTGACGTGACGGCACTAGCAGAAGCCATAGCCCCAAAACTCTGCTGCTGAAGCCAGCATAAAGATGGGCCAATTGCAGCCTAGCTCAACCAATGATCCTTCAAAATCCATTCACAATCATTACCCAGTGATGATCTCGACAGCTTCTGACAATGATGGTGGTTCTCAACTCAGACTCGTCCTGGGAGAACCATTATCCTGATCATGGTCTATCCCCTGCTACCCCTTATCATAAAACTATGACTTCTTGTTCTAGACTGCCCCATGAAAGGAAACACCCTCTGTACATCTACTTTATCAATGGGGCTTACACAATTAATGTTAGGGCCTTGAGTAGTGCTGTAGAACAGAGGGATCTAGGAGTGCAGGTACATAATTCTTTAAAGTTTGCATCACTTGGGAAGGATGACTAAAAAGGCATTTGGCATGCTTGACTTCTTTGCTCAGTCCTTAGAGTATAGGAGTTGGGACGTTATGTTGAGGTTGTACAGGACATCGGTGAGGCCTCTTCTGGAATGCTGTATCCACTTCTGGTCGCCCAGTTATAGGAAGGCTATTATCCAAGCTAGAGAGGGTTCAGAACAGATTTACCAAGATGTTGCCGGGTATGGAGGGTTTGAGTTATAAGGAAAGACTGGATAGGCTGGGACTTTTTTCACTGGAGTGTAGGAGATTGAGAGGTGACCTGATAAAAGTTTAGAAAATAATGAGAGGTATAGATAGAGTTGATGAGATTTGTCTTCTCCCTAAGATGGGAAATTTCAAGACTAGGGGCACAATTTTAAGGTGAGAGGAGAGATTTAAAAAAGACATAACAGACAAATTTTTTACACAGAGGGTGGTTCGCGTGCAGAATGAACTTCCTGATCAACTGGTGGATGTGGGTAAAATTACAACGTTTAAAAGACATTCAGAGGGACATATGAATAGGAAAGGTTTGGAGGGATATGGGCCAAGAGCAGGCAGGTCGGACTAGTTTAGTTTGGTATTATGTTCTGCATGGCCTGGTTGGACCAAAGGGTCTGTTTCCGTGTTGTATGACTTTACAACATCTGACACCCACGATACCTCCTCTACCAACACTCCATCTGTCTCTTAAGACTTATAGTTTTACTCCACACTTGCACTCTCATGCCCACTTTCCCCACACACCCCCCTGCACCCACCTCTCCCACATACATCACTGGCCCTGCTCACTTGTCCAACACCCTGGTTCTGCTCCATACCAGCGTCCCAACTGCAACCAGCCCTACACCTGTTACTATGCCCTGTCAACGTCAACTCCCGGTGCTACTCCGTTCAGTGCACGTTGCCCCCTCAAGTACATGGCCTCACACTCCCTGGCAGCCCGTCTCTGGTCTCCTCAGCAACTCATTCCATTCTTCCTCCTCACTTCCCCAGCAGCCCCAGGTCCTGTTCCCTCAAGTACAATGCTGACCCAGCCCTTCAGCTCTGCTCCTTCCTCCTCAGCAAACCCAGCTCTTGTCTGCCACCCACTCTGGTACCCCTAGCTCCCCTCCCTCGCACCATCCCAGTTCCCTGCTGCTACCACTGGATCTGCATCCCCTGACCTCCAGCATTCCTGGCTCTACACCTTTCAACCCCAGCACCAACCCCTCCATTCACCCCAGCTCCACTATGCCCATTGACCAGCACCATCAGGTCCACTCCCTCCTCACCTGGCTACTTAGAGAGTAGTTGGTGTTTTACTGCATGTATTTTGTGCTTAACTATTTACACTGTCCCGAGTTCTGCTTCTTGAGTCCAAAATACTTTCTTTAATTATTTTCATTTCAGCATGGTTGACACACACTTTCTTTTAGACTCTGATAAAGCTTCAGTCTCCTTCCAGAGCTCTTTACATAAACATTTGTTGCAAACATCACCATCATTGTACACTCTGCTGATAGCTCATTACTCTACAATAGGCTGTTGGTGAAGGGGAGCAGGGATTTGGTGTGGTGAGCTGCTGTAAAAGAACGTTAAACAGAAAAATTAAAATCTGTTAAAAAAAAACTTGCCCATCTGTCACTGAGGACTGATGTCAAGAGTCAGATCTTCAGCTCATCATGTCAAAGGAATCATAGTCATGCCAATAATGTTTCATTCCATTAATTCTTTCCAATCAATTCATTTCTAGGTTGCACACTGTAACCTGAAGAGCAAATTCCCACGGCAGTTTTAAAAAAGCTTTGTTTCTCATGCAGTCAGCGGACAAAGCCTCCACTTTTGGCAGATGGCTGATATTGATGAGTGAGGTCAAAGGGAGAGCGATTTAGTGAGGGAATTGCTGAGAATGGTGCATTGGACAAAGTG